GTTGAAAAACTGTACAGCTTTGAACAAAGTTGGATAACACACTCACTATAGTTGCAGGCCATTTATGTACCACTTGAAAACTGGTCAAAAAAAAAAAAAAAAAAATACCCAGAGATGGCATCGTCAATCCTTGTTGCTAGGAAGTTGCTAAGACATTCCCAGCTAATTCAAACCCCTACTACTGCAGTAGCTCTAAAGTCAGTGATGCTTCAATGGAGGTCCTATGGTGGTGGAGGTGAGCAGTAAACAGCCAAGAGTGCCTTAGCAACAAGGCCAGGCGGGGGGGGGGTAAAAAGGTCTTCTCTGGGAACTCTTCAGCCAGGCTTCGAAGGGTATGTAGAAGGCCTACACCAATAGCAAGAGCATTATCCAACTTCAGTCAAAGTTTCAGTTTACTTTAACTACAGTACTTCCTGCATTATGTTAAAGGGGAACAAATACTTTCTCATTCTTGAGAAAACTTTCCAGTCTCAAGGAACCCCAGCTAAAAATTACTCTCTCTACAACTCATGATATACAAGCGTGATGGTCAGTGGGCCTTGCATTTTTGGTCATTGGGAATGATTACCCTCTTACAGATATTGAAGTTTTCACTGACACAATTGATCTTTTTTAGCTAAAAAGCAGAAATTGCTCAATACTTAAAAAGGAACCCCTAAAAATCTCTGGAGGAACCCTGGTTGAGAAACCCTGATATATACACGATTAATGATGGTCTTCTGGAGGAACCCTGGTTGAGAAACCCTGATATATACACAATTAAATGATGCTCTTCTGGAGGAACCCTGGTTGAGAAACCCCGATATATATACACAATTAATGATGCTCTTCTGGAGGAACCCTGGTTGAGAAACCCTGATATATACACGATTAATGATGCTCTTCTGGAGGAATCCTGGTTGAGAAACCCTGATATATACACGACTAAATGATGCTCTTCTGGAGGAACTCTGGTTGAGAAACCCTGATATATACACGATTAAATGATGCTCTTCTGGAGGAACTCTGGTTGAGAAACCCTGATATATACACGATTAAATGATGCTCTTCTGGAGGAACTCTAGGGTTCCACAGAACCCTTTTTGAGAAACCTTGCTTTATGGGTTTGAAGTCTTTGGCCAGGATGACACCACTCCCATGCATGTGCATGAGAGCCAATTCATCCTGAACCGATTGATGGTGCTTGGGTGTTTGTAAGCATGTGGAGCTATAAGGGTAACCGTTAAAAAAAAAAAAAAAAAAAAAAAAAAGGTAAGTTGTTGGACAGAAGAGACTCACTGAATTCCTTCTACCTACCTGTTTGCAGTTTGTTACATTAGACATTTAAATTTTAAAGACTATATTAAAGCCCAGCTCCAGCCAAAACATAATATTGTGTGTGTCCCCTTGGGACTCACTTAGAAGTAGAAATGCGAGTACCCATTAATGCACCTAATGCGTTAATGGCACATTTTTGGTGAATTTGTATGTGCTTGCATGGTGTTAAAAAAATGCTTACCAAACACCCCCCCCCCTGTTTTTTTTTATTGTATGGATTTTATTATTTGTATTAATCATCTCAGCTAATAACTTTCTAAACGCATCTCAAGCACAATAGAAAACACCATTGGGTGTTTGTGATGCGTTTGCAGTGAGTTTACATCAATGGAAGAAAGTTGGGGGAGCGACAAAGCCTGCCAAATGACACATCTGGTCAATTTTGACACAACGCTACACTCAGTCATGTGAGCTACACTGGATGCTACAATGCACACAATTTTGGAGCTTAAAAAAAAAAAAAAACCACACAACACACATGCTCATGAAATGCCCGCTTCGGAAGCTAGTGTAAGCTTAAGCAGGCCATAGAGGACTCAAAAACCGAAACGACAAATTCTTGTCGATCGCCAGGTCGTTTATTTTTCGCATCATTAGTGTGCCAACTGCAAGATGCGATTTTCGTGGGGCAAATCAAAAGTGCCTGATCCAACATGCTGGATTTTTTTTTAGGCACAATCGGACACACCATTTTCGTTTCAGTTTTTGAATTTTCTATGGCCAGCTTTAGCCTTAAGAGCGATTGTTCGTCGCTTCCAGTCAGATTATTTTTGCTGTTTCTTCCAGCGTGACAACATCACTATTTTTAATTCTGCTGTCTTAGAAACGGAAGTGGGGTGAAGTCCCATGAGGTCCCAGATATCTACAGTTAAACTTTAAGTGCATGTACTTTTTCGAGCAACAAAAGTTTTGCTACAGGCAACAAAAAACACTCAAACATGTGAACAAGGGTCATTGAAATGAATGGTATTTTCCTTGTTGAGAGTTTGAGTATCGAGCAGAAAAATACTCAAGTGTAACCGGGTCTCAGGCCCCATTCACATTAGGACGTTTCAAATCACGGGTGGAATCGCCACAATTCTTCCAAAAAAAAAAAAAAAACCCACACAACACATCTGGACGTGCCATTCTTGTCAATGGCACCTGAAAATCATGGCACGTTTTTTCCCGGAACTATTTTTGGCAGTCACATGTTCTGCGATTTTGTTTGCACAATTGGGGCACATTTGTTGAGTGGAAAAATGTACCGCGTTCACGAAAAAAAAAAATGGCCCGTGCACTGAAATGAATGGCACCGCCAAAATGAATTTCAAATTTCAGGAAGAATCGCGCCAATTCCACCCATGATTTGAAATGCCCTAATGTAAATGGAGCCTAAAAGGAACAAAAAAACCATAATTCTTCACATAGAACTTTGCTTTAGTTTAGTGATATGCGATGAAAATCAGAGGCTAAGACCCAAAGTTTTCACATTGCGGCACAGTACAGTTTCCTAAAATGATGCCTATTAGCACAAAGTATCTAAAGCGCATTCAAACCGCTGCATCGGGATGATTGCAAACGCACCACTGAATGCAGCTCAGAGTATATGCTTCAACAGCCCCATCAGATTTGGGTGGGCGTTCATATGCGCCTTCACGAGCACTGAAATGCGTAGACGCAGACAAGCCCCTGCACACAGTCTATATACAGAACAAAAACACATTTTCTTTTTTTTTACCGCCACAGAACACAATGGAGGTGGCAGAAGGATACAACAGGATTAATTACCCAGATCAGCTGCAAGCACACAAATACGGATGTCACACATTACAGAATGGAGCGGTACTTTATATTTCAGACACCTTTCGCACCTCTATGGCGGACACGGGTTATTTTAAGAATATCTGATGCCTCAAAATAAAACCGACTTTAAATACAGATCTGTGTCCTATGACCTACAAGGAAATGAGTAATGTCACAATATCAAGCGCACTTGTCACCCACCACAGGTAGCCATTCTGGGCCTTATTTATCAAGGCGTTTAAAAAGTAGAACAGTTCTTGTCAGCAAGACGCTCCCAGTGCAGCATTTCAATCACCAGTATGGAAATGCAATGCAAGGTCGCAAACGCAGATTACATAGAGAGCCAATGAACCCCTTACTGCAGGGGTAGGCAACCTGGGAGCCGCAGGACTACAAGTTCCATCATGCCTCTGCAAGTCATAGCTGTAACTGTCAGTTTTGTAATCTTTGCAATGCCTCATGGGAAATGTAGTTCAACAGCTAGAGAGCCTCAGGTTGCCTACCCTGCCCTATTACATGCAGTCCTTTTACGCTTCAGAAGGCACCGGATCGGAAGTTACACACTGCAGAGCTCAGTGAGGAGAGCTCTGAGAGCTGATTGGAGGGAAGAGACACACCTTCCTTTACACAGCTCACATGAACAGAGCTGAGGCTGTCACTCTGCTGGAGGTCCCTCCCATCACCATTTTTCTCTTGGTGTCAGAAAAAAAAACAGCCAGAAGTGACTCATGCTGATAGTAGAGGAAGGAAGCAGCAGACAGAAATGACACTTAGTGCTCTGGATTGAGATACATACACACACTAAAGAGGGATATGCTTTATTCATATTTCATGTCTGAGGTTTACAAGGACTTTAAAGCTGAACTGAACTCCGTTTAAAATCAGCAAAATATGATTAAGTAAATCAAAACAAAAAGGTTTGTAAGGTAATTATAAAGCAGCCACAGCCTAAGTTGAAAAGCCTGTCCCGTCAGCATGCTACAGAGAGGGACCCTTGCTTGTTGTGCAGAAGTAGTGTTTCTCTTCAGGGTCCGGGGACACCAGATATAAGGAATGCAGGGTCCGGGGAGACCAGATATAAGGAATGCAGGGTCCGGGGAGACCAGATATAAGGAATGCAGGGTCCGGGGAGACCAGATATAAGGAATGCAGGGTCCGGGGAGTGGAATGCAGGGTCCGGGGAGACCAGATATAAGGAATGCAGGGTCCGGGGAGACCAGATATAAGGAATGCAGGGTCGGGGAGACCAGATATAAGGAATGCAGGGTCCGGGGAGACCAGATATAGTGAATGCAGGGTCCGGGGAGACCAGATATAGTGAATGCAGGGTCCGGGGAGACCAGATATAGTGAATGCAGGGTCCGGGGAGACGGATATAGTGAATGCAGGGTCCGGGGAGACCGGATATAGTGAATGCAGGGTCCGGGGAGACCAGATATAAGTGAATGCAGGGTCCGGGACCAGATATAGTGAATGCAGGGTCCGGGGAGACCAGATATAGTGAATGCAGGGTCCGGGGAGACCGGATATAGTGAATGCAGGGTCCGGGGAGACCGGATATAGTGAATGCAGGGTCCGGGGAGACCGGATATAGTGAATGCAGGGTCCGGGGAGACCGGATATAGTGAATGCAGGGTCCGGGGAGACCGGATATAGTGAATGCAGGGTCCGGGGAGACCGGATATAGTGAATGCAGGGTCCGGGGAGACCGGATATAGTGAATGCAGGGTCCGGGGAGACCGGATATAGTGAATGCAGGGTCCGGGGAGACCAGATATAAGGAATGCAGGTCCGGGGGAGACCAGATATAGTGAATGCAGGGTCCGGGGAGACCAGATATAGTGAATGCAGGGTCCGGGGAGACCAGATATAGTGAATGCAGGGTCCGGGGAGACCGGATATAGTGAATGCAGGGTCCGGGAGACCGATATAGTGAATGCAGGGTCCGGGGAGACCAGATATAGTGAATGCAGGGTCCGGGGAGACCAGATATAGTGAATGCAGGGTCCGGGAGACCAGATATAGTGAATATCCGGGGAGACCGGATATAGCATGCAGGTCCGGGGAGACCGGATATAGTGAATGCAGGGTCCGGGAGACCGGATATAGTGAATGCAGGGTCCGTCCGGATATAGTGAATGCAGGGTCCGGGGAGACCGGATATAGTGAATGCAGGGTCCGGGGGAGACCGGATATAGTGAATGCAGGGTCCGGGAGAGACCGGATATAGTGAATGCAGGGTCCGGGGAGACCGGATATAGTGAATGCAGGGTCCGGGGAGACCAGATATAGTGAATGCAGGGTCTGGGGAGACCAGATATAGTGAATGCAGGGTCCGGGGAGAGCGGATATAGTGAATGCAGAGTCCGGGGTTTAGTAACACTTTAAAATGAAACGTAAACCTTCCTACGTAAAACTGCCATCTTAAGAGGCCATAGAAGGATTTAAACTCATCCAGTACAGAAGGGACTGGCCGAAATTCCATCCATCTACGGCTGTTCCTGCTAAAGAGAAGTCGATCTAGCGATCTATTCTCTCGAATGCAATGTTGGAAAATTTTAATTTGATCAGCAGCCAGGAGGATTCCCTCATCCACCTCGAAATGTGCGAATGCAGGAATCTGCTCTGATTTTTGATCATCCAGCTGGCTGATCAAAAAATAAATAACAAAAATCCACCTATGGCCAGCTTTAGCTTCTGCTTGATCTGCAGTTGTCCCGCACACGAGATCCGTGAAAATCTGATGACTTGACAGTTCAGTTGAGAGCACAATCAACTGTGACAGTTATTATTCATTTCAGGTCTTGAATGTAACGGTTTTAGGAAACAAAATTACATTGATGGGTTTAGTTCCTCTTATATTGTATCTTAAAGCAGAACTAAACTCACCATCCTCACTCCCTTGCCAACGTCTCCATCCTGACCAGCCTTTCTTCTGTGTTCAGGACCTTTGACCAAAGAGCGATGGGAAGACGTTTTTAGTTTCACCAGAACAGGAGGTGGGGAATGGTTTCCGGGGGGTGGGGGGGTTCCGGGTTCCCTCACTTTGGCGATATTTTCATTCACTTCCTGTTGGGTCCCTGAGCCCTGCTTCACACTGGTTTGACCTGTCATGCGATTTGACAGTTCCAAAATCATTAAAAGTTACACCCTATTGTTGGCAAGGGAACCGTTCAAATCAGTGCACCTCCAACCTTGCAGTGCCACACAGATTTGGAAAAAAAAAAAAAAAAAAAAAAGGGTCCTGCACTATTTTCCACGTGCGACTTGCATAGACATCTGTGCATGAAGTCTCACAGATGTCAGCCAAGTTGCCCATGAAATCGATCTGACCTGAGGCTTTGAAATCGTGCATGATGAAAAGTCGCATGATTTCAAAATCGGATTAGGTGTGAACCAGGGTACAGACACACCTCTAACCAATTCATATGTTACCCAAAACGAAAAAAAAAAAAAAATGACTTTACATATACTTTAAAATTAGAGGCAGGATTTAAAGTGGATGTAAACCTCAGACATGAAATATGAACAAAGCATATCCCTTTATAGTGTCTACTTGTCTCAGTTAGGATCACTGAACCCTGGTTCACACAGGTGCGACATGTGAGGGGGGAAAAAAAAAAAAAAAAAAAAAAAAAAAAACCGCACCTGAAGTCTTATCTAATGTATTTCTGTGGCACTGTATTAATCAGTGCGACTTGAAGTAGTGCGATTTCAAATATAGTTCCTGCACTACTTTTCTCCGATTGCATTGACTGCTGTTAAAAATAAAGTTGGAAGTCAAAATGAATACGGAGGTGCAAATTGCACTGATCGGCAGCTTTGAAATCACGGTACTTCAAGTGAAGTAGTGCGATTTCAAAGTTGCGTTCAATGTGAACCAGGGCTACGTGTCATTTCTGGCTGCTGCTTTGTTCCTCTGCTATCAGCATGAGTCACTTCTGACAAGCTTCTCTGGCACTGAGAGAAATGGTGACGGGGAGGGACCTCCAGCAGATTGACAGCCTCAGCTCAGTTTCTGTGTGCTGTGTGGAGGGGGAGGGGGTGTGTCCCTTCCTTCCAATCAGCTCTCAGAGCTCTCTCCTCACTGAGCTCTGCAGTGTGTAACTTCAGCTCTCCGCCCACTTTTTTCTGAAGCTCAGACAAGCTTTACAAATTCTGGACTTTGAAGGGATGTAGAGAAGAGAATACTGCAGATAACCAGGTACAACTTATGTAGGAGGATTTGTGTCCTCTCTGTGTATCACCTGAGGTTGGTCACTTCACTGGGTATATGGAAGGTTTTACAACCACTTTAACATGGAACAAAACCCATTTAGTAACAGGTAAGTAAAAAGGAGAGAGAGGGTTGGAAATACTTTGACAGCAGTTTGGGTCTTAAATCTGCTGTTTATGTATATATCACAACTTGACAAAAAGGCATACAGAAGGTACAAACTTCTCCAATATACTACGCTCAGCCTACAGAACAAGCTGAACAAGTTCCTGCAAATCCCTCGCCTGCTAATCCTCAAAAAAACAAGTTCTATACAGATTATTGACACTATAGACTCAAGTAGGAACCTCGACTGTACAACACAGGACATATGAAGGACTGAAGACCTACAGATTTCTGTTGAGGGCTTCTTGTAATACAGAAGTAAAACAGATTTGTGGCCAATAAAGCCTATGAAAAAGGTACCAGGGGCATCTCATGGGGGCCCTACTAACCCGGGCCCCCGGGCAGTGCACGAGTTTCCAAATGGTCAGTCCGCCCCTGGGTGCCACTTTGATGCAACTTTGGATGGGTGTCACTTTGATGCAACTTTTTTTGTTTTTTTTATTCACCAATTGGAAAGTTGACAGTTCTGTTCATGTAGTGTGACTTTGAAAAACTTTACACTCTATGACACTCAAATAGAATCAGTCACATCAAAAGTTGCATCCATTCAAAAAGTCGCATCAGTGTGAAAGTAGCCTTACTACTCTAGTCAATGGTCCCACTACAGACTGCTGAGGTCCAAGAGCTGCACAACATATACCAAAGGGCCACAGGTTTGGAACCAGGGGTCTAACCTTCTCCAGCTCCATCAAACATACAAGAGAGACTTTGGCTGGAGCTCCATTAACTACTTGCCGACCGACCACCCGCAATGTACTGTGGATGGGCGGGTTCTGCTGTAGGCAAAGCGACGTACTTGTATATTGCTGCCTACTTCTGGGTTTCAGGCGAACATGCATGGCCCTCGGCTGGCACCTGCTGTGATCGTACACAGTGGGAGCCTGTTAGGAAGGTCCCGGCCAATGACTCACAGCCGGGACCTGCTG